TGGCCCCCACTCTAGGGTGACCAAGTCATTTTGGTTTGCCAGGGACTTAGCCAGTTTTAAGCCTGACCCCAGAGCCCCTTCAGTCCCAGGCAGACTGGGAAGGTAGGTCACCCTCCCATGTCCTCTGTATCTTTAGGACCTCGCCGTTGGTTTCAGAACTGTGGATCTGGTGATGGGCTCTGGTTCAGGATGAGCTGGATTAGAGGGTGAGGGGTGGGGGCCCAAGGCAGTCCCCAGCAGAGGGACTGTCCTGTCTCCAATGTACTTGTGGACTCAGGATAAACCATCTATCTGGAATGCCTATCACCTGAGAGTGGCCTCCAGCCCCGGCAGGGGTCTGTTCAGTTTCTCAATCCCTGCTCCTGAGGGCTGGCTATTTCCAAACCTGCTGGGGGAGAGTGGGAAGTTCTAACATTCTCACCCTTTTGGGGTCTCAGTGTTCCTGTCTCTATATAGACCGGGGGAGTTTTGGGCCGCTTCTAGAACAGAGGTTCTTTTTTTTTTTTTTCTCTAGGATTGTATTCATCCATTTATTTGAGAGAGGGAGAGAGAGAGAGCACAAGTTGGGTGGAGGGGCAGAGGGAGAGGGAAAGGGAGAGGCAGACTCTCCACCGAGCAGGGATCCCGACGCGGGGCTCGACCCTCTAGGATCATGACCTGAGCTGAAGGCAGATGCTTAACCAACTGAGCCACCCAGGTGACCCTGGAATGGAGGTTCTGTCGTGGTGAACACCCACTGGGCCTCCTGTTATCATTTTAAAACAACCTGTGTGTAAGGCAGTGTATGAACCCCTGTCTGCCTATGTCCCGCACCCCACCTTGTACGGAGCCACAGGCCAGACCCTGGGAGATGATGCTTTCCTTCACTGTCTTGAGTGTTCTGGGCTTTCTTATGTCTCCGGGCCTTTGGCCATGCTGTGCCCTCTGCCTGGGATGCCTTTACTTTTCTCCTGGGCTGCTCACCCAGCCCACCCTTGTCATCCTCTGTGCCACTTCTTGGAAGATTCTCCTGACAACCCCCTCTCCTGCCCAGGAAGGGGTAGGGGCCCCTCCCTAGCTCACCGCAGGGTGACATCCCTGTGTGGAATGGTCTGTTCACTTTTTCACCTGCTGGCTTCCCCACCAGATGAAGAGCTACGGGAGGACCAGAGCCTGGAATTGCTTGCCTTTTGGACCTCAGAGCCCCCAGCCTGGGGTGCCAGGGTTGGCGAAACGAACAAGTCAGCATGGGGAAATAAAATAAGCAGGTCTTGCCCCGGTGGAATTTGCCATGCAGCTCCTCAGAGCACTTACTGCTTGTGGCTAAAAGGATCACCTGTGCACCTAGAGATGGATCCTGAAAGAATGGCTGCATCATATTTGCAAACCTCAGGAAAGTCTGTGTTCCGTGGCTTCTCCCACCCTGATTCCCAACTTGGACAAGGATCTAGAACCATCCTTATTTGCATCTGGTCCCTCCCTTCCTTCCAGGGTGGGCTCCCCCTCACCCCTACTTCCCATCACCGCGGGGTCATGCCTCTCAACCAGCCCTTCCCAGAAAGCTTGCATGTGGTTTTTGGCATGCGCGTGGTTACCAGAACCCAAGAGGCTCAGCAGGTCCCAGGCTCCCACTACCCACCCCGTCTCAATCCACACTGCCACCAAAGCTGTCACAAACAAGGGGGTGTGGGCCGTCACGTGGCCGCGTCTGAATAACCACATTCTCGCTTCCTTCTTTCACACAGGCTGTTGAGGGTTGGCGGGGTCCGGGGTCCACAGCAGTGCTCTGGCAGCGTGGGCCCCATCCCGGTCGCTAAGGGAGAGAAGCCACTTCTCCTGGGCCCACGAGGCAGCTGTTGCATGCTCTGCTGAGCACGGTAAGTGCCCGCTTGCCAAACCACGGGGAGTGGCTGGGAGGCCTCTGGGACCAGCAGGCCCGCCTGACAGTAGAGGGCCGGCCCGGCGCAGGACCTGAGCTCCGAACCAGAGCCCCGGGGGCTGGGGATCGAGGTCGTGGCCTTATTGGGCAGTCTCTTCTGGATCCTGCTCCCTCAGCTTCTTCCATCCTACCCTCCCCATCAGGCTGGCCACTGGGCTGCTGGCTTGAAGAAGGGGGAGGGGCTCTAACTTTGAAAAAAATCAGAGAAACCAGGAACATGTCCCTAAAAATCATGCTGCCTCTCTTTTCACGCGAGGCACAGGGAGGTGAAGGGACTTGCTCAGAGCAGAGCTGGGGTTAGATCTGGGTGATCCCAGAAAGGGAGAGCGGGTGCAGGATGTGTCTTGAAGCCGCTTAGGCTAGGGATCCATAACAATATTGTCTCCAAAGTGATGTTCTTCATGCTTTTCATAAAGTTGAGAAAATGACGCTGGTCTGTAGCAAATTATGTAAATACTAGAATTAGGATACTAACTAATATTGCTAGCCAAAGAGAAAATAATCATCATAATTAGAATACTCTTAGTAATTTGTATTTGGGGTGGTTTAGGGGCATAAAGGGGAATGAGAATGGCGGGCGGGGGATGGTACCTAAAGCAGTGACCTCTGACGCACACACGCGTGAACACACGCACACACAAACACCCATAAACAATGATCAGGACTCCGGTCGCCTGGAATTCTCTTCCTCCTTCCTGGACCCTCTTGTTTTCTTCTTTTCCCATCTGTGTCTTCGAGCCCCCTGAGACCAGTCCTCTGGGTGGGCAGGGAGCCCAGGGGGTCACTCTCCTGGCCCCAGGCCCCTCAGCGGCTTCCTCTGGGGCTGGCCTGGCCACACCCGAAATGGTAGATGCCTCCGTCACCAGGCTTGGCCAGAGGCCAGGGGAGACTGAAGCCCAGATGGCGGAAGGGGCCGGGCTGCCAGGCTGAGCGCCTCCTGGGAAGCTCGGCCAGGCAGGAGCAGGGCCTTCCGAGGGGCTGGGGAATCACCCAGGAATGCTGTGCTTCCCTTGTGCAGATGAGAAAATCGAGGCTCAGAGGGGAGAAGCAGCTGCCCATCGTGGCCCGGCTGGGAGGTGGCTGGCGTTGGACTTGCTTCCCTGGCCCTCATCTGGCTGCAGGAAACTCGTGGAGCCCAGGGTGACCCCAGCCGTGGTCTGTCGGTCTCCTTTGCTAAGCTTGAGCAAGAGGATGGTGGGGGGACACGGGGCCCAGGCTAGAAGGAGATAGGATGGCTGTCTGTGCATCTGTGTGCTGGTCCATCTGCCTGTCTACACAGACAACTCTTCAGACAATCCTCAGTTGTTAAACTAAAACCAGGTGTAGGTCTCTTTAAATTCATTTGTGCAAAATGTCTTGCCCCCTCTGTACCAGGCTAGCAAATTCGGGGTCCAGAAGGTGAAAGTTGTTTTGGTTTTGGTTTGTTGTTTTTGTTTGTTTGTTTATTTGTTTTTGGTGGGGGCAGGGGGCAGAGAAAATCAGCCATCACTGGGGCTTCTGTTCCTGCAAAGGCTATGGAACAGTAAACAGGTGTATCTGTGGTATCGCGGTTTATAGGGATGGGTGGTAATTAGGTAAAGGGCTTCTTGAGGGGGGTCGGGGGCGATGATGAGAAAAGGTCGGGAAGGGCAGGACGGCAAGCCCAGAGCAAGAACCCGCGTGCTGGTTGCTTCTGTCCCATTCACCAGTCCCCTCCTGCAACGGGCCTTTCATGAGCCCCTGGGAGGCCAGGCCTGTCGGGGCTGGGGACCCAGTGGAGACTCTGCCCTGCAAAAGCTTGCAGCCTGGTGGAGACGCTGGTGGGGCAGCCACCGTGCCCGCGCCCCACTGGGCCAATGTCACAGCGCCGGCTAAGTGCCTGCCTGTCCGCTAAGCCCTGGGTAAGGGGTGTGAGCAACAAGACATCCGTGGTTCCTGTCCTTTTGAAGTGCGTGGGCCAATGGGAATGGAGTTTTAGACAGTAAACAACATTTTAAACGGTTTAAACAATGGGAACGACTAATCATGCCTGAGCAATCCAGGATGGCTTCTTGGAGGAGGCACCATTTGCTAAGCTCTGGAGAATGGATGGTAGGAGGCTGTGACTGTGAGTTGGATCTGGAGCGAGAACACCCAGGGGCAAGTTGCTGAGCCCTCTCTTACTGGGTATGTGACTCTAGGTGCCAAGTGGGTCTCGGTTTCCCCATCTTTCACATGCGGTTAGTAGAGGAGGTGCTAGGGCCTGAGTGAGCTAGTGATTCATGTATAGCTCTTAGATCAGTCCCTGGAACATGGTCTACACTTGATACCTGTGATTTGCAAGCTAGGGCTGTCCTGGGGCTTGCCATGGAGACAGTTTTCTAGGGCTCTCTCTCCCGGCCCTCTCTGACTCAGAGGTACGTCAAAGCTGTTCCGGGGTTGGGGATTTTTCTGGGATATGGCCCTGAATGCAGAATGACAGAGACAACAGCTGGCCATTATTGAGCACTTACTGTGTGCTAAACACTCAACCTGAACCAGCTCCCTTCAACCCACAACAACCCCATGAAGTGTACGTGCTATCATTGTCCTTTTATTCCAGATGTGGGACCTGTGGCTCAGAGAGGTGAGTTCAGGTGCCCAAGGTCACACAGCTTATGCGCGCCAGAGCTGGGCCTCGATCTGGTTTGATGCTGGACCTGATCCCGAGTAGGGCCAGGTCCTGTCCTGGCCGCCAGGACTGAGAACAGCCCTGGGGCCTGGGGGAGGAAACCTGGGCCTTGATTTGACCTACCGTTGATTTAGAGCCTCCCCTTCTCTTGACCGGCTGCTCAACCCACACCCTGAGATGCTCAGTCTTTCCGGTCCTAAGCTTCCAAACTCTTGAGTGCTGGGATTCCCAGGATCCAGGATTCTGACTGTCAAGTCCCAAGCTTCTTGGAGTTGCCACGGTGCCTTTCCCGAGCAGGGTGGCCGCACGCAGCCGAGCCTGGAGCAGGGTGTGGGCCCCCCCCAGTGGCCTGCCCCTCCACAGCCTGGGTGGGGCCCCGGCGGAGCAACCAGGTTTTAGGGTAAAAGACAGGAAACGGGCCGTATCTGACCTACTCCGTTAGGCGAGCAGGAAGACAGATAGGACGTGGCAGCTCTCTGCCCCTCTCTCAGAGCCCCTCTCCTGTGGTAAGTGACCGTTTTCCTGCCTCTGGGAGGAGAAAGGTGTAAGGGGGGGACTTCACAGCTCTGAGGAATTGCCTTCACTCTTCTGCGCCTTGCTGTCCTCATCCGTATAATGGGAGTTGTAGTAGCTGGTGCTGGTGTGGAATGGTCCAGCCGAAGTGGTGGCCTTCTGATACGCCGTGCTCAGTGCATTACAATACATTTCTCTTAGCAAATAGTAAAGTCCATATCCCACCTGCCAGCCACAGCGCTTACATTCCAGCCCTGTCCTTGCCATCTGCACGGCCCCCTCAGAACAACAGAACGCCCGGGAGCCGGATTTTCCTCCTGCCAAGCAGCCTGGCTCGTGGCTGGGGTCTCCGTGGTCCTTCTCCCTTGAAGCCCGTGGGGTGGCAGGCACCAGGCTGGCGTGACCAGCCAGCCCAGCTTGTCTGGGACTGAGGCAACAGGACAACGGATGAGGGGATGAGAGATTTTCAGCACTAAAAGTGGGAACACCCTGGACGAGATGGTCGCCCTAAATAGACCTGGGCTGGGAGATGGGGCTTTCCCGATGTGCCCTGTCTTATCTCCACACACACGGAGATCTCTGCTCTCAGGCAGGACCCCACAGCGTCCCTCACTGCCCCTGGGGGAGGTAGGGAGGCTGTCGCGTCCATACCTTCCCTGACTCTGAGCTTTCTCTATCCTCTGCATCTCTGTCCACAGCCCTGAAGAGGCTCCCCCAGTAAAACATCCCTGCTGATGCCAGATATCAGGGACCTTCCCTGCAGCACGCTATTTGATTCTCAGCTCCATTCTCTGAAGCAAGGTTGCCCATTTTACAGATAGGGAAACTGCGGCAACCCACTCAGGTTACATAGCTGCTGAGTGGTCTCTCCTCCAAGCTGCCTCCGCATGCAGGGGGCGGTGGGGATGGGCACAGGGAGAGGGCAGCCGCCCCTTCCATGCCTTCCTCCCTGCCTCTGGGCTGCAGAAAGTCAGGTCCTGACTCATCAAGGTGCCTCCTCCACCCAGGAACCGGCGGGTGGGGCCTTTTCTTGCCCCCACCCTCTCTGCTTCCAGGAAGTGGCTGAGGGCTCTGCCTTCCAGGAACTGAGAACTGCCCAAGTGGGGGGTGGGGAGTGGGTACAAGTCTTTGTAATTTTGAAATACGGATCCTAAAGTCCACCCCGCTCCACCCACCCCGGGAAAGCAAGGCCAAGATCACCCCCAAGCAGGAACTTCCCCCCTGTACAAAGACGCTCTGCCTCCTAAAGGCAGGTTGGGAGGCAAAGGATGTGCATACGCACGTGTGTGTGTGTGTGTGTGTGTGTGTGATACATTTATTGAGCACCTACTGCGAGCCTGGAATTTTTGAGTTCATCATCTTGTTGCATTCCCTTAACAGCTCAATGAGATAGATGCAGATTGGTATCCCCATTTTACAGATGAGAAAACTGAGGCTCAGAAATTCAAGGTCATACAGCTTATAAGGGACAGAGCTGGGACCTGAACATCTTTTTGTCTGACCCCATAGTCTGTGTTCTCAATCCTGTGCCCTGAATAGCACCTGGTACATATGGGTATGGGGGCTGACCTTTCTGGATGAGATGGCCTTCAAGGTCCTTCTTTTTTTTTTTTAAGATTAATTTGTTTATTGAGGTGGGAGGGGCAGGGGGGGGGAGAGAGAATCTCAAGCAGACTCCATGCTGAGCACTGAGCTGACGGAGAGCTCAATCCCATGACCCTGAGATCATGACCTGAGCTGAAATCAAGAGTCGGACGCTTAACTGACTGAGCTACCCAGGCGCCCCAAGGTTCTTCTTATTCTTATTCTGCCTTCCTTCTCTCAACCCGGTCCCCAACCCCTGCCACAGAAATAGCAAGCTAAGGTCTTTTCCAAGTCTTTGCTCCTTCTGCCCCCTTAGCTAGGTCAGGTTTCTCCCCAAAGCCTTCCTGAATCTTCACTGGGCTACAATCTGATCTCTGCCACTTGCCAGGTGTGTGCCTTTGGGCAAGTTGCTTTACCTGTCAGAGCCTTACCCCTCCTCCCTCCTTAGTGAAATGAAGACAGTTGTGAAGGCCTGATGTGTCTGATGCAAATATCATAAAGTTTGGTTTAAGAAATTATTTTAAGACAGAATCAGACCGGCATTTTAGAAACCAACATGAGTGAACAGGTGAAGGAGGTCAGGTTGAGCCTAGAAGCTAAGGGGCTTATGAGTAAGTTACAGTCACTCAAGGAAGGATGAGCAACTGGTCTCTGCTCAAAATTATGCGAAGTATGAGGGTAAGTTTTGGAAATGACCCAGGCTCTGCCCCAGACACAGTTTACCCTGCTAAGGGTATTATGTCCGAGAAAACCAGGAATACCTGAATCCTGGCCCAGAACACAGCTGTTACTCCCCACAGGATCCTCAGGTGCACTATTCTGAATCCCGCAAACAACCCACCAGTGGCAGGGGGGGCGTGAGGGGAGGGAGATCTGTCAAGAAAACATGGATGTCCACCATGCCAGGAAGAAAGACCAAGGAGAGGAACTGCCCTTTCTGGCTGCTGGTCAGGGGGGCCGAAGGGTCACAGGAGAATGGGCCCCCAAGCAAATGAGATGCCTGTCAGCTCCCCGAGGGCAGGACCGTTCTGAAGAGATGGGAGTTTTCAGATAGTACAGAGAGTACAGTTGATGGCTCTGGGCCCTTGAGGACTTACAGGAGAGGCTTACTGATGGAGCCCAAGTAGCCGCCCTTCGCTGGAGCTGGTGATGGGGACAAAGTGCTAAGGGCTTCTAGGCTTTGCTTGTATCAACCTCACAATAAGCTATGAGGTAGGTACTGTCATCCCAGTTGTGGAAGTGAGGACAAAACCAAGCCGGGACACCGAGAGAGGATGGGGAAAACTGAGAACCTGAGGGACAGGCCAGCACTGTGTACGGTGGGAGCCAAGGCGAAGGAAAGTAGGAGAGAGGGACATGGAGAGACGGGTCAGGAACAGACTCCAAAAGGCCCCAAAGGCCCAAACAAGCAGCTTTATCCTGTAGACCTGTGGTCTACAGACTCTTTGGTTCATGGACGCCATCAGCAGACAATATATGTACATTGATCTACCTATGAATTGTAAGCAGGTACTCCTGGGCTCATGATAGATTATAAATGTGTGCAAAACTAGAAATCACAAAAGGGTGACATAACAGTCTAACTAGAAGCTCTAATAGTTTCTTTCTATACCCCAGTGGACTGTCTTGCCCACAATTTTGAAGTTTTAATCACAAAGGGTAGGGAGGCAAATACAATTTCTTTGCAACATATAAGGAGAGTTGTGGGGCCCTCTGGATGAATCTATTGATGTTGATAAATAATAATAGTTGCAATTTGCTGGGCAGCTCCCGTGTACCAGGCACGCGCTGCATCATGAGGATGCTTAAATGCTAAGTGCCTGGGCCCCTGGCTGTCGCTGTCCACATGATTGCAGTAGAGGGCGCTTGGCAGGCCCAGTGGTGAAGCTGTCCTCAAGTCCCTCTGTCTGTGTCTCCCGCCAGGTGCCATGCCTCTGCAAGTCCTCCTGCTTCTGATTTTGCTGGGTCCTGGCAGCAGCCTCCAGCTGTGGGAGCTAGAGAAGGATGGAGCCCAGGAGGCCCCAGACACCCCGCTTGCCCGGGGCCGGAGACAAGTGGATGAGGACCATGAAGTGGACTCATATGACTATGTCACAGAAGGCACAGAGCCTCCAGAAATGCTTACACATGAACCTAGGTCTTTGGCCCTGACCCCTCACATTCTGGCTGAGTTGGCAACACTGGGGCATGGAACTCCTGAGCCAGCTACTCTGGAGGTGGCCACACGGGACTCTGCTGGCCTGGACACAGGAGGGGTGGCCCTAGGGAATCTGAGCATGGAAGTGGCCACACAGGTGATTCCTGTCACAACAGACACACTGACCAAAGAACCAGCCACTACATTACCTCCCATCACAGAAGCTCAATCCACAGAGGGGGCTCCATCCACAGAGCTGGCCACCACTGAGGCCCCGTCCACAGAGCCAGCAGCCACAGAGGCACCGACCACGCAACCTGTGGCCACAGAGGCCCCGTCCATGGAGTCTACAGTCATGGAGACCCTGTCCACGGGGCCAGAAGCCACAGACGCCCTGTCCACGGAGCCCACTGCCACAGAGGCCCTGCCCATGGAGTCTACTGTCATGGAGATTCTGTCCACGGAGCCAGAAGCCACGG